CCAAAAAAAGCTATTGTAGGAAGATTTATGTTCTCAGGGTTTTTTTTTTAAGATATAATAATATTTAGTTATTCTTTTGTCTCTCTTCTTGAGTTGGTTTTGGTAAGTTGTATATTTCTAGAAATGTATCCAATTTCATACGATATTTCAGATTTATTGGTAGGACATTATTTATACTATTTCTGGTATATTTTGCATATTTACAGGATGTCTGTAGAAATTATGTCTTTTTTTTTCCATAGTTCTCCTGGAGAGAGACAGACAGAGAGAGGAAAAATGCAAAATTACTTCTCAGGGGGATGACCAAGCCACAATCCCTTCTTCTCCATTCTCATCTCAGGATTTGGGGCACACACGCACATGTGCCCAGCATGATTTGCAAGCCCCTGTGTCAAGGACACAAATCAGGTGGGCAATGTGGAAGTCCAGTGCTTTACCCACCATGCCACCTGCTGGCCCCATCCTCCTTTTTCAATAACAATATTGATTAAACTTGCCTTTTCTTTATTTGATGGATCTCACATGGTTCTCTGTATTTTTATTAGTATTTGCAAGAGAAAAACGTTTAGCTTTTCTTTTTTTTTCTTTTCATTTGTACTAATGTTCTTTTTTACATTTTGTTACTCTGCTCTGTATTTTCTCCTTGCATTTTCTCTGTGCTTATTCTGTTTTCTTATGTTAACTTCTTGAGATGGGTGACAGAGCTCATTAATATTTAGCTTTTTTCCTTTTTAATAGATATTTCAATGATATAATGTTTTAAAGTTTATGTATTTCTTTCATGAGTAAGAGAGACAGAGACAAAGAAAAATAAAGATATAGTGATAGCACTTCTAACAGGTTAATGAGACCATGATGTGTCCCCCTAGATCATGGGCACTCATGCGCCTGGCATACTCTGGGATGTCCTCAAATGTAAGCCTAGAGTGGATCAGCCTCTCAGAGTGCCATGTTCCACCACTGAGCCACTATCTAGCCCCCGAATATAATTTTACCATGAGGAACTGCTTTAGCTTCATCTCACAAGTTATACTCTGTAGTATATTTTATCACTTGATAAAAATATTTTAATAGCCATAATGATTTCTTCTTTGACTTAGAAGTTATTTAAAAGAATTTTTAAATTTTCAAATATGTAGAAATGTTCCAGTTAATTTTTAGATTGATTTCTAGCTTATTTCCTTGTTAGTCCAATGAGACCATAACACACATAGTATCAGTCTTTCAAAATTTATTGAGATTTGCATTTAAGTCCAGTGTATATCCAATTTTTGTTTGTATTTCCTGTACTTGAAAATAAAGCATATTTTATAATTTGGAACTATAATGTGTCACACATGTCAGTAAGTCAGGTTTAAATTTTCTCTATTCTTACAGATTTTTTTATTTGCTCATTCTATAAATAAAAAAACATACCTACTATTATTGGATATTTTATTTTTTCTTTACTGTTTGTCAACTTTTGTTTTATATATTTCTATAATGATTAACTGCATAACAGTTTGTTACATCTTTCACTGACTTTTAAACTTTTATAATTGTGTCCACCTTCATCTTTGTAACGTTTTCTGCCTAATTATGAATTTTATCAACAGAAGTACTAACTTACAAGAGTCAATTGAGGGGCCAAGAGGCAAAGAGGCTGAGGTGAGAGCCAGAATTGAAGCTAGAATAGCACCTCTAGACCTACAACTGGAGGAGAGCGGACCTCAGCCAAGATGCTGCACTGTCATGTGGTTGTATGCCTTAGATGAAGGCAGTGCATACACACTTTCTCATCACCCCAACACAAGGACCTCTGATGTGTTTCTGTCCATTTGCAGTTCTCAAAGAGGCCAGTTAGCTTTGAGAACATGCCTCCCCTTCTCAATATGTCCTCTCTCTCTACCAATGGATGGGGAGGTGGCACACATTTCTGTTTGGGGAACAATTGGGGTAAGCCCTACTAGACTCTTGCCTTTGCTCCAACATTTACTAGACCTAAAGAGCTAAAGACCCCACCTGCTTATAGGATCATGCTTTGGGGGGCATAAAAATAGCGATTTCTTTCCTACTTTTCCTTTCAACTTCAATTCTGTTGCTGCCCACTCACCAAGCTTCACATGCCTTCAACAAGAAGTGCTATTTCATACCTCAGCAATATTTCACATCTCACCTACAGATTTTGTTCTTCCATTTTTCTCTCTTTTTTTTTCTCTCTC